ATGGAGCACAAGCAGGGGGCTTGGAGCCTCAGCTCAGGCTTGGTTTTGCCTCCTGTTGTCTCCCCACCTCCTGGGGTCGGTTTTCAGCCACCACACCTGAGTCCTTGGTTAACAACTGTACAGGGACCTGGGTACTGGTATGGGGAGTGCTGGGATCTCAGGGTGAGACTCCCAGTGCCTGCGGGGGCCTGCATTCACCCAGCAAGCATCCCTCTGTCCAAGGGAGCAGATGTTAAATAGCAAATAAAAAATGCCATGGTGAGTAGAAAGAGAACGTAAGAAAGGAGAAAAACCATTTTCTGCTTTTTGAACAAGGAACTTGACATTTTCCCTTGGCACCGGAACCTCAAATTACATAGCTAACCCTGCCCCCATCTGAATACTCCATTCCAGTGAGGCTGGTTCTGGCTGCGTTCTGACACCTTACTCTTAGTACTGATAGCTTTAAGCCTTTTACTGGGTTGTCCCTCTACCTGGAACATCCTGAATCTACCCAGGCCTTTAAACAGTAAGATCAAATCCTGATCAGTTCATTCAGTCTTTGCTGTTAAGTCACATGCATCGACACTTTCTTTGAACTTTCCCCGAAGGAGCTCATTTTGACGGTAGTCATGCACTGGCTTCCCCGGGGCTTCACTTTCTCACGTGTGAATGCTTCAACTCTGTCTGCAGAAGCTGCCTGCCTCTCCGTCTGTCGGAGACTGTTCTACACTCTCTCACCGTCCCTTGCTCTGAGTAAATGTTTAATTTTGAAATAATTTTATATTTACAGAACGGTCGGAAAGATAGTCCAGAGAGTTCCCAGATGCTCTTTACCCAGGTTCCTCCAACGTCAACATCTTGCATCTTCTGGTGCATTTGTCAAAATGAAGAGATTAACGTTGGTAAGTACCATTGACCACATTCCAAATGTTCTTTGGATGCCACTAGCTTTATCACTAGTGGCCTTTTCCTGGGCCAGGACTCCACCCAGGACACCACATTACATTCAGTCATCGTGTCTCCTTGGCTGCCTATGTTTGTTCACAGAGTACATTTATTTTTCCTTGTAAGTTAGGAGTGTCTCTATTTCTAGTAGATACTCTGCTCTGCAGAACAGAAGCTATCATCCTCTCTGGGTCACAGAGGTTATGTCTTGGCGTGGTGCTTTCTGAGATGGTAGAAAACCAACCAATGAAATGCAAAATCTTGAAATAGCAATGGCGTCTTGGCTTTAGTTTGGCTTTGAATAATCATGTCACGGACTGTGTGAGTAATCACGTAAAGCAATCTAATCAGAACTTTGAGAAGCAGTGGTGTCCAGAAAAAGAACGCTTGAATTCCTGAACCATCATCTCCCGCAAGAACCGAGCAGAACTGCAGAGCAACTTAGCTCTGAGTGTTCGTTCTGCGTTCCAGGCCTCCCCATCTATGACAAAAGTGTATCTTGTTTTCTTTCCTTTTCTATTTTTCTCAGTCTTGGGAAAAACAAGGAGAAGTCTATAAAAATGGAATTAGCTATAGCATCTATTATTAAGTGTCTCAAGTTGCCCTAATTAAAATGTATTATATAATCTTGCATTTAAAAGAATAAAAAATGTATGAGTACTCAAAAAAATCAATAGAAGAATTACAGACCAATTATTATGCCTAAATTAATGCTATATTAGTATTATTACAAAAGTGTCAAAACACATAAGGTTTTTAGTTTACATATCCAAAATGTTTACTGTGACTTTCACAACTATGTCTCTTTTTTTAAAATTTTTTAAAATATTTATTTATTTTTGAGAGGGACAGAGTATGAGTGGGGGAGGGGCAGAGAGAGGGAGACACAGAATCTGAAGCAAGCTCCAGGCTCCGAGCTGTCAGCACAGAGCCCCATGCTGGGCTTGAACTCACGAACTGCGAGATCATGACCTGAGCCAAAGTTTGCCACTTAGCTGACTGAACCACCCAGGCACCCATCCAACTATGTTTCTAATTGAGTATTTCAAATTCAATGAAAAGAGTCTGTTTAAAATCCAGTGAACTCTCATTTATGTTCTTCCAGAGGGGCTGACACTCAGATACTCCAGGAGTCATTTTTAATTTATCTTTCAAGTATTTTTCATTAGTGAGTTACGCCTTCTCATGTTTTCTTAGGGGAATATCAGGTTTCATTTTGTGATCATTTGGCAATTACAGGCCAAAAGGAGGAAGTCCAAAAATAGGTTGGGAAGCTAGTTGAGCAAGGATTGAGATAAAACATTGGCCATAGACACTAAGAAGTTGGTAAATCATGTGTATCTGGGAGCGTTGGATTTGTAAGCCAAACTAGTGATTTCTCCGGCTTCCTCATTTTCACTAAATGTTATGTCCTGGCTTCTGCACCTCCTGGTCCCTATGCAATACAGCTCAACACCCATTTTCTGCTGCCTCACACTGGTTGATTTATGGACGAGATCCGGGAGCAGTTGAGCCACTGGAGACATTTAAACCATTGTCCTAAAAAGGCACACTTTAAACTTCAGAGCCAGGCCCAGAGGCACGGTCAGGGCTTGGGCCATGAAACAGTCATCTCCAATCCTGGAAGTGAAAACACCACCCCATGCTACACAGTCTTGTGCCATTCACTTAATATAAAGCCAACTCTGACAAAAATCATATTCAGAATGTCACCTGGGATGCTAGGTGACATCATATCTATTTTCTATTGTCTATGCCACAATGAGTGCCTGGGCATCACAAATTCAGTTAGTGAAAAGTGTTTAGACTTTAATAAGTATTGAGAGTAAACTGTATTAGAAGTGATAGGTTGGAAGTCTCTCAGTGGTCACACCAGACGGCCCCCACTCTTCCTTGTAAAGACACCTGCTCACGTGAGCCATAGCAGTAGGGCCATCTTGTGTCATTTTTCATATTTGTCCATGCATAACGATAGAATTTCTTCATTCACACTGGTTAGGCTCTGCATGTTCCCCAAATCAACTTAACTCAACAAATAGTTATTAAGCCACGATTCTAGGGCAGGTATTGTGTCAGGAACAGGAGTTAGATAATGAAGAATACACAGTCCCCGCCTGCATGGTATTGGGATCAGACTTGTAACCAATTAACCATAATTTAATGTGAATTGGAGAGCAAGAAGAAAGGGAGTGATTCATTCTGCCTGGAGCAGGGAAGTCTCTATGGGTTGCTACATCAAAGTTGGCTTTGAACGATGAGCAGGGCTTTGCCAGACAGAGTTC